TCTGTTGGGGAAGCTGGATGGGCAGGTTTTGACCGGGGGCATCTTGCTTCTCTCTCATGAGAACTTGCCTCCTCAGTGAGTGAGGCCAGAGGCAGCCTCCAATCCCAGCTGGCAGGGAGGCTGACGCAAGAGGAGTCACAAGGAAAAGCCGGCCGGCCGCCTTCGCCCGGACCCTCGAGCCCTCGGCGGAGGCCGGGCAGGACCGCGACCCGCGGGACGGGAAGGACGTGGGCCCTGCATCGGGGGCGCCTTCTGCCGGACTCGGGGGACTCGGCGGACGCGGTTTCTCATTTGAAGGACATTAAGGACACGGTTAGACTCTGCGCAGCGCTGACGGCCTCCTGGGGACCCCCGCCTCCCATCGGGTCCCCAGATGCCACTAGCTTGGTGGCGTTGGAGGCAGGGGAGGGCTGGGGCCTCGCGTCTGACCCGCGAGGGCCTCCCTGAGCCGCAGCTCGCGCGGCCTCGCTGGGCGCATCCCTGGGCGGACGCCTTGCAGCCTCCTCCTGGGGCCTCCTCCAGGGCGGCGCCGGCCGGTCGCCGGGTCTGCAGACTGCGCGGGCGGCCTGACCCCAATGCTTCAGCGGCCTTCCTTAGTTGGGGCGTCTGTTTCCCTTCCCTTTTCCGCTTTGGTGTAGGAGAGTGTTTTGTTCACTCCTGGAACCATTTCCCCATCCCATTTCTTCCAAACACTCCCTTGTATAAATTTATTTTTTAAAAATTTTAAAGTTGTTAAAAATATTTTCTCCTTTACTGATTTTAATTTCCTTCTTTGGATTTGCGGATAATAGATATTGTACTTCAGATCATTGCTTTAATGTTGCTTTCCCCCAAGGATATCAGTCACTGAGTAAACGCTGGCTGGTAAGAGAAAAATTATGAGAAATTGGATTATTTTAAGGCTTTTCGGTCAACAGAAAGGGCTGGGGCTGTAGCTGGGTGGTGGAGCCAGGATTGCAGCCCCAAAACATAAATAAATAAATAAACAGCAGCCGCGAGAACTTTAATGATGCTAAGAAACCAGGAAAAGCATTTTCAACTAATCTTTTCAAATCTGGAAACTTAAAAAAAATAAATAAATAAAAAGTGTAAGACTCCTATTGTACCCATTGCGATTCGGTCAAGGTTTAACTGCTGAGGCTCCCGAGGGCCGCTCTGGGTTAATGTGGTAGGACGCAGCTCAGGACCGCTCTCCGTTATCACTCACACACTCATCCTTCGGGCCGACTGGAAGTGCTGTCAGGACCTACAAGTACTGTATTCATCGATTTTTGAGGTTCTGGGGATTGGCATGCTTTAACACTGAACTACATCCCCAGGCCCCTTTAAATGCATTTTTTAAAACTTTGAGACAGGGTCTTGCTAAGTTGCTGAGGCTGGCTTTGAACTTGGAATCCTCCTGCCTCAGCCGGTGGGTTGATGGGATCACAGGCGTGTGCACCACACTGAGCTAGGACCTACAAATTAAAAAAAAATATACTGTCACAATCCCATCTCTGTATTCTATGCTGGGACTGACTCCACACCCCTCCCCAACTTTACTGGGGATGGAACCCAGTGGTGCTTAAGCATCGAGTCACATCCCCAGCCCTTTTTATTTTGAGACAGGGTCTCAGTTGCTTAGGGCCTTGCAAAGTTGCCTGGGGTGCCTGGAACTTGCCATCCTCCTGCCTCAGCCTCCCAAGTCACTGGGATCTCAGACACGCACCTCCACCCAGAATGAGGGTGGTTTTCAAGACCCAGGCTCTTTGGTACAACGTGATCCATGGGACCCTGGCCTGTCCTGGGCAGAAGAGAAGCAGAGTCACCTAAAGAGCCCTGCTTGTGACCTCGCTCAGCTGCTTCTTTACTGGGTGCTGCTGGGTTTGATGCTGGGCCTTTGGAATTTAAGTTGGAAGTGAATGTCCACGGCCCACGTGCTGGGGGGCTGCTTCAGGAGACCTGCGGATCGGAAGTGCCCTCCCTCAGGAAGGGGCCAAGGGCTTGTAAGAGGCTTCACACAGCCCCCACCCTCTGCTCCACCAGGTCACGTGACAACAGGGAGCAATGTTTCTCCCCCACATACTTAGGCTATTGATTTTCTGGGATCACAGAATGTACCGATATAAGGTAGGGGCAGCTGCGATGCGGTTATCAATAAATCCTAATGTATACACACTGGCAGCTACGGGACCTAGGGGCTGGTATTGTTTGTAAATGTGCTCGTACAGTCAAGGGCATAGTGCTTTATCAACATGCCCCCTCTGAGTGTTCCAAATTTATGGAAATTCTCATCACTTTACAGAACCTCAGACTGAATTGTTAGATTATTTTAAGGCTCTTCAGTCAACAAAAACAAAACAAAATTCCAGGACTCATATAAGAATGGACTTTTGACTCCAAATAAATCTAATTAATATATTAATAACATTCTTTAAAAACCCTTTATTTACTTTAAACTGATGTAAAAAACACAAAATTGTACATCTTCATGGGATGCTGTGGGATATTTCAATAAATGTATACATGTGGAATCACAATGACTTCATTTATCACAACATTTTTTTTAGGGGGGTACTGGGGATTGAACCCAGGAGTGCTTAACCCCTGAGCCACATCCTCAGCTCTTTTTATATTTTATTTAGAGACAGGGTCTTGCTGAGTTGCTTAGGGCCTTGCTTTTGCTAAGGCTGGCTTTGAACTGGCAATCCTCCTGCCTCTGAAGCTGGAATTACAGGTGTGTGCTACCGTGCCCCAGCCATCATTTACCATTTTTTGATGAAATCATTCAAAATCCCTTTTTCTAGCTTTTTGAATATGCAGTATACAATTACACCCACTATGTAACAGCACTCCAAGCAACTCAATCCCATCTGACTGCAACTTGGATCACTCTTTCCAATCCTTTGTGAGAAAAATACCTTCAAAGTTTGATTTCCTTCCTTCCTTTCTTTCCTGGGGATTGAACCCAGGGGCACTCTACTCCTAAACTACAACCCCAGTTTCTTTTATTTGAGACAGGGTCTCACTAAGTTGCTGAGGCTGGCCTTGAACTTGCAATCCTCCTGCCTTAGCCTCCGAGTTGATGGGATGACAGGCATCCATCCACCTGGCTTAAGTTTATGATTTTCTTTTCAAGAACGGATTGAATTACAAACAACCTAACTGAATCACTGCCAGTATCACACATTTTGCTTTCAACGGATTTTTAAAAATATCTATTTTTCTTAGTTTTAGGTGGATACAATGACTTTATTTTTTATGTGGTGTTGAGGATCGAATCCAGTGCCCCACACACACATGCCAGGCAAGCACGCTACCGCTTGAGCCACAACCCCAGCCCTTCAATGGATTTTTAAAATTTCAGGTATAAACAGCAAAACGTCCAAACACATTCCAAATGTTTATGCTTTGTCACTTATACATGCATTACAGTTTTTAAAACCTGCCCCTTGCTACCACTTCCCTGTTCCTCTATGAACAGAATCTTACCAAAGAATACATACGGGTCACAAATTCATGAAAAAGGGTCCAGCGTTATGAATGCTTAAGGAAAAGCAGTTAAAACTACACACTATGGATGTAGTAAATCCCAAGGACCACACTGAGTATCGGCAAGGATGTGGAAGAACCGAAGTCCCCACAGCCCCACAGGCCCCCGCTCACAGCCTGGTGGTTTCTTAACAAGCTGACTGTCGCCTGCCCTGTGTCTCAGCTTTGCACCTGAGTCACTGACCCCAAAGTAGCTGACATAAATATGTAAACAAGTGCACATGCTGTAGCAGCTTCACTGTTTTGGCATTAGCCAGAACCCAGAAACAACCTAAAGGAATGGCCAAATGCAATAAAAATGAACAGCTCACACAGCAGAAGAATCTCAAAATAATAATCATGAATGAAACTAGAAAAATAAACATTTTGTGAATCAAGTCATCCACGTCCTGCTAACACAATCTAAGCCATCGGGGAAGACAGAGGAAAGGTGGCCTGGCGGCCAGGGATGGCATGGGCCAACGAAGGGCACGAGGTAGGTCAGGGTGCAGAGCGTTCACGTGATGACTGCAGTGAGCCTAGTGGTTCACTGTGAGGCCTGGTAACCCCACACGAACTCCACCTCCTTCTTGGTGACCTTATGGGGACAACCTTGCCTCAGTGGCAGAAAGTATTAGTGACCAGTGACGTTCACTTCTACACAGGATGGTGGCTTGTCACAAAGCCACCTTGCTAGAGTGGGGATCTCCCCTCCCGCCATGCTTGTTTTCCTGGCCTTCAGGGAACATTCCAGAAAGGCTACCTGAGTGGAACACACAGAACTTTTTTTTTTTCCCCCTGACAATGACCACAGATCCAAAGGTGCACATCCCTGGAGACCGTGAGATTCTGTGCACACCTCAAACCCGCACCATCACTAGAATCTAGTTTGCTGCGATCTCCTCCAAGTCCTGTGAACCCAGTGTTTCTGTCCCAATCAGTTTCCCCAGGCACAAGCCCACAGAATGACGGGGATCAGGCACTCGACTCTCTCAGTCGGCCGACACGGTGCCAGGCATCACCTGATGTCCTGTGCCACAGTTCACGCTGCTCCGGGCAGCACTGGGAGTTGTCAGAACTTCCTGCCTCGAGGTGTCCCCAGCCCACAAAACATCCTGCATATACTCCACCACGCAGGACCAGAAGGCCCTGAAGCTCCTAGGGAGCCTCGGGCAACAATTCATATTAGGACAAAACTGGGAAGAGAGTAGCATTCTTCCATTAAACCAATGTCTCTGAGGCTTGGAATTATGTGACCTCCCTGTGCCACCCCCACACACCACAGCTGTTTAATGCTGGCTGGGACCAATCCTGTTTTTAAGCCATCTCACAGAGTGAACAGAATCCCAAGATTACAGGTGCTTCAGACAATAAAGCCCTCAAAACAAAACAAATGTGAGGCAAGCAGTTCCCAGGTTAGTGTCTTAGAGGCTGTGGAAAAAAACCCAACCAACCACCCCAACAAAAAACCCCAACATCGTCACAAGAAATGTGTCCCTGAAAGAGTTTACTTCTATCAGGATCTCCGGTACAAAACTGGGTCAGGTTCATGCCCCAGCTTTTTGGAGAAGGGAATGTGGGCTCAGACTACTCATTACCTCCAGCAATGGGAGAACACAGATCAGCTTCCCTGAACATGGTGGCGTGGTGACTGACACAGCTGGACTTAGCAAGTGGCAGTGAAATGGCTTCTGTCTCAGAAACTGTCAGTAGCCTAAACTGCAAGGGTTATGGATGCTAGGAACTGTAACACAGATCCTTGGAGCTTCCACAAACCTGAACTGAAGGGAATCTCTCTGCCATGCACCTTCAGTTGCTGGGCTTCAATCCAGGTAGGCTGCTCTTACAGGTGCTCTCCTCCAATGATTCCACTAAATAAAAAGTGCACATTCCCTATATAGCTAAGACCTTTCTCCACTGTGAACTCTCTGGTGTTGAACGAGGACAGATTTGCAGCCAAAGGATTTCCCACATTCACTGCACTGATAAGGCCTTTTTCCAGTGTGAATTCTCTGGTGTTGAATGAGGCTGGAGCTTTGGCTGAAAGACTTCCCACATTCACTACATTTATAAGGCCTTTCTCCAGTGTGGACCCTCAGGTGTTTAATGAGGTTAGATTTGCAGCTAAAGGATTTCCCACACTCACTGCACTCAATAGGCCTTTCTCCAGTGTGGACCCTCTGATGGTTCCTAAGGTTGGAGCTGTGGCTGAAGGGTTTCCCACACTCCTCACATACATAGGGCCTTTCTCCTGCGTGGACTTTCCGATGTGAACTGAGGCTGGAGCTTTGCTTAAAGGATTTCCCACACTCACTGCACTCATAGGGCCTCTCTCCAGTGTGAAGCCTCCGGTGGTGAATGAGGCTGGAACTTCGGCTAAAGGATTTCCCACACTCACTGCACTCATGAGGCCTTTCTCCAGTGTGAACTCTCTGGTGGTAAATGAGGCTGAAGTTTTGGCTAAAGGATTTCCCACACTCACTGCACTCATAAGGCCTCTCTCCCGTGTGAACTCTTTGATGTTGAATGAGGTTGGACCTCTGGCTGAAGGATTTCCCACATTCCCCACACTCATAAGGCCTCTCTCCCGTGTGGACTTTCCTATGGCTGTTGAGGCTGTAGATCTGACTGAAGGCCTTCCCACACTCACTGCACTCATAAGGCCTCTCTCCAGTGTGCACTCGCTGGTGGATGACGAAGCTCGAGTAGTAGGTGAAGAACTTCCCACATTCACTGCACTCATAAGGCCTCTCTTCACTGTGGACTTTCTGGTGCTGAATGAGATTACATCTCCGAGTACAGGCTTTCCCACACTTGCTGCACTCAAAAAGCCCTTCATTTGTGAGTGCCCTCTGGTACTGAACGAGTGTATCTGTGTGGCTAAAAGCTTTCTTGCATTCCCCCCAGTGGTGAAGACTTTTTCCATTGTGAAAGGCCACCCCACACTTGTAACTGGCATTTGGTTTCTCCCCTGTGTGAGTGGCCTGTTGACGGGGAAATCCCACGCTGGCCAGAAAACCTTTCCCCACCTCTTTGCAAGTATAAGGCTTCCCCGACACATGGATCATGCAACTCTTTATAAACAAGGTTCTGTCAGTGTCACCTCTGAAGGGAAGCTCTTTAATGTGCTGCCTCTGATGCTGTTGAAGATTTGCAGCAAAATAGAACTGTCTTCCACATGTGCGTGGCTTCTGCCCAGGATGTGTTGTTCTGTGGTTCTGAGCCAACTGCAAAATGCTTCTCAAGACCAGGCCACATATTTCACAGGAGCAGGCATTCTGGGATGACGACCCCTCTTTGGGAGTCATGACACGTGACAATCCTTCAGAAACGCTTGGTTCGGAAGGTGCTTCCTCTTGCTCTACTCCATGCAAACAACCTGAAAGCAGACATCAGAGGAGGAATGGTGAAGGACATGCTGCCTTAATTAGGATGTGGCCATGAATCACCAATGTTCATCCAACAAGCAAAGAACCAGTCTATGCAACTGTTTTCAGGCTGCGGAAGCAGCTGCTCTGCATTCCTGGACCCCAAGGTCCCCCAGTGGAACAGGCCTTACCAGCTGAGCACTTAGGGTGAGAGACATGTTTTACACCTCATCCCTTTGTCAATGACTCCTAGCAGGACCATACCTGCTGGTGGCATGTGGTGCTATGAAGGGACCTCTAGACCCAGAAGAACTGGACTGGAACAGTAACTGGTTCAGGCTCTGTTAAAGGATACATGTACACCTCAGACCACAACATCAGAAGACACTCAGGAGGCAGTGTGAGTCCAGAGACAAAGGGATCTGCACTGGGCTGGATTGTAGAAAGGAAAAGATGGCAAAATGTCAAGAATATACAAGGGAAGGTAAAAGCAAGCTGCCACAAGCAATGACATAAAGACAAGGGCTGAACAGGCTGGCTCCTAGCATGACCTGTGTGTAACCCCAATGCCATCCCTTCCCTTTGTCCAGGCCCTCGCTGAACCCATCCTGCTAACACTGGGTCACGAACATCCTGGGAAGCATGGAGGCTCTTTCACTAACCCCAGGTGAGGAACTGCATGGGACCGGGAGGATAAAGGAAGAACAGGACATGTGAGCAGCTAACGCAGGCCCAGAACCATTCAGCAAGTGGCCGAACACAGGAAAAGTAAGGAAGTTACGTGGTATAAATTCAAATACTGTACTACAATGTTAAATGCAATCTCCATGGTAACTACACACAGATAAATAAATAGCCATAGAAGTACATAAAAGAAAAGACAAGGAATTAAAGTTTACTATAAAAATCAACTGAACACAAAATCAATGTAGGAAATTGGAGACAAAAAAGCTGTGAGGCCTATAGAGAACAAATGGCAAAATGACAAAGCCAGTCCCTCTTGTCAGTGATTATTCTAAATATAAGTAGATGAGACTTTCTGAGCAAAAGACAACAGACATCAAAACTGAAGGGAGAGGGACTGGGGTTGTGGCTCAGTGGCAGCTGGCTGTGTGAGGCCCTGGGTTCAATCCTCAGCACCACATATACATAAAGTAAAAAATAAAAACTGAAGGGAGGAAGATAGTTTTACAATAATATCCAGTTTTACAACAACAGTTGGAAACATTTACACCCAAATCTCAACAACAGACTAACCAGGGAAGAAAGAAATGAGGACCTGAACAGCCCAATAACCCAACTAGACCCAACAACCACACAGAAGTACTCTGCCCAACAAGAAGGAACACACTTCTCAAGTGCACCCGAGGCATTCCCCAGGACAGACCGGGTTAGGAGGTAAACTAAGCCTGCTAGATTTAAACAGACAGAGGGCATCATACAAAGAATATTCTCCAATCCAATGGGATCTTAGATCTTAAACCAATGCAACAGAGAAGAAATAGGAAATAAAAACATAATATACGCAAATTTATGGGATGCAACAAAAATAGTAATAAGGGGAAAACATACAGCATAACCACTTATATTAAAAAAGAAGAAAGATCTCTACTTATCAGCCTACTTTGACATCTTAAGGAACTTCAAAAAGAAGCACAAGCCTGGAGATGGCACACGTGTGTAATCCCAGCAACTCAAGAGGCTGAGGCAGGAAGACTGCAAATTTAGGCCAGCCTGGGTGACTTAGCAAGACACTGTCTCAAACTGCTGAGGACATTGTTCAGTGGTAGAGCACCCTGGGTTTAATCTCCATTACCATAAAAACAAAACAAAAACAAAAAAAACAATAAACTAAAGCCAAAGCTAGCAGGAAAAAGAAAAAAAGGAAAAGAAGTTAATATGTGAAGATAAAAACCAAATAAAATCATGAAACAATAGTTCTTTAGAAAGGCTATCAAAACTGACAGACCTTTACCTAGATGAGAGGAAAAAAAGGAAGTCAAATTACTAAAATCAGAAATGAAAGTAGGGGATTCTCAATCTTCAAAAATACAAAGCAATAAAATTAGTAGTAAAACAACTGGATAACAGATGAACTGAAAAATTCCCAAGTACATAAAACCTACCAAGACTAAAAAAATGAAGAAACAGAAAACCTAAACAGTCCCATAAGTATTTAGGAGATTAAACTAATATCCAAAAACCAACCAAAAAAAGCTCTGAACCTGATGGCTTCACTGGTGAACTCTACTACCATTTACTGAAGAACTCTTTTTAACCCTCCCCCAAAACGTGAAGCAAACACTTCCAAACACATTCTTTAAGGCCAGTGTTATTGATTCCAATTCCGACAAAGACAAATCAATTTTCCTGATGACAGCTGATGCAAAAATTATCAACAAAATATCACCAAATATCTGAATTCTGCAGCATTCAAAAAGGATTACACACCATGACCAACCAGAAGTTATTCCTGTAATGCAATCATGATTCAATGTAAGAAAATCATTTTTTAAAAAGGCAAAAAAGCACATGAGCATCTCAACTGATACACAAAGAGCATTAAACGAAATGAAACATCTTTTTATGAGGAAAACATTCAGCAAACCAGGAACATTTTATAAAGTTATAAAAGTCATACAAAGAAAAAACTAGATCGTGAAAGCTGAGAACTTTTCCTCCAAAAGCAAGAAGGAGAGGAGTATGCCTCTTTCTATTACCATATTACTAGAAGTTCCAATCATTGCAATTATGCAAGAGGAAAAAAAAAATAAAAAGGAACAGAATGGAAAAAGAAGGATCAGAATAGGAAAAAAAAAAGATGATCTCTGTTTACAGATGATATATGTGGAAACCTCTAAAGATTTCACTAAAAAAACTGTTATAGCTAATAAACAAATTCAGCAAACAGATGGATACAAATACAACATGCAAAAATTGGTTGCATTTCTATATACTAATAACAAAAAGGCAGGAAAGGAAACTAATAATTGTGCTTATTATGGCATCAAAAAGAATAAAAATGCTGGATGCAGTGGTGCATGCCGGTAATCCCAGTGACTCGGAAGGCTGGGGCAGGAGGATCCCAAGTTTGAGGTCAGCCTCAGAAACTAAGACACTGTCTCAAAATAGGTATGGAGCTCAGGATAGAGCATCTCTGAATTCGATCCCTAGTATTAAAAAGGAGTAGAATACTAAGGAATTTAATTAGCCAAGGAAGTAAGACATATTATTGCTAAAATGAAAATAAAGAATAATAATAAATAGAAAGGCATTACATGAATGTTCATGGATTGGCCAACTGGATCATCCCAAAGTGATCTACAAAATGAATACTATCAAAATCCCAATGACTTTTTTTTCCCAGAAATAGAAAAAAAAAAAATCCTAAAATTTACATGGATTACCAAGAGTCACCAAATAAGGTAAAACAACCTTGAAGATCAAAGTTGGAGGACTCACATACAAAACTTATCACAAAGCTACAGAAATTAAAATAGTGTCATGCTTCCATAAAGTCAGACCCATAACTGGGCATGCTAACACACACCCGTAATCCCAGTGGCTGGGGAAGCTAAGGAAAGAGGATGGTAGATGCAACAAAAACAGTACGGTTGTGCCTTAAAAAACAGAATTAGTACATGATCCAGCAATTCCACCTCTGGTTATGTGTCCACAGAATTAAAAGCAAGTACATGAAAAGGTATCTGTTGACTCATGTTCATTGAAGCATTATTCACAGTAGCTTCAAGTACACACAGGTGGACAGATGGATAAACAACATGTAGGACATCATACAAGGGAATGCTATTCAGTCTTCAAAGGAAATTCTGGCTTGGACCTTGAAAAAGCTACCACACAAGAACAAATACTTTATGATTCTACTCACCTGAGACACTTAGAGTGGTCAAATTCATAGAAAGAAAGCAGAATGGTGCTTGCTAAGAGATGGAGGGAATTATTGCTTAATGACTAGAGTTTTAGCTTTGCAAGATGAAAAAGTTCTATGGAAGAAAGGTAGCGATAGTCACATAATAATGTGAATTTTAAGTATTTAAAACCAATGAAACGTACACTTAAAAATGGTTAAAATGATAAAATATCATATATATTTCACCACAATTCAAATAAATAAATAACACCTTGGGGGAAGTTCTTGTAAAAACAGGCTAAATAAGTACTGATGATGTCAGTGACTATATTTCATGGCACACTAGACACTGATGACCGTCAGGTATAAGAAGGGAAAAGAACGTGCATGGACCTAGAGAGTCACCAGACAGGAAGAAGACAAGTAGGTGGGATCTGTTAGGCTCACTTGATCCTTGTCCATGATGCTCTGGGGCAGCAGGAATTATGGCCATAAGGGGAGGGAAGAAGGCAAGCACTCAGTCCCAGCACCTGCCCAGGGAACTGGGGATGAGATCTGAGGAGAACAGAGCGGCTGCCAAGGAAAAGCAGAAAGGCAGTGCAGCCCAGGCCACAACAGTGGATACAAGGGACTTACCCAGTGAGGATATAAGTGCCAAGTTTTCCAGCATCACCTCGAGGTGCAGGTGTCTCTGGGCCTCATCAAGAAGATCCCATTCCTCCCAAGAGAAGTACACAGCCACATCTTGAAAGGTCACCTGCCCTGGCAGGACAGAGACTGATGAAATCATGAACAGCTCACTCTGGAAGACCCATGATCCTTGTCCCACACATCTGCCCCCATGTCCACCCTCCTCCCAAGCTCCTCAATTCTGAAGGGACACCAGACTCTGGTGTCACTGGTGCCTGCTCTTCTGGTGCTCCCAACAGTCACTGCATTCATCCGTTCTGTTTTCCATTCTGCAACCAGATAAAACCCGTCAACACTTGGGTAGAAAACCTCCCTCCTCTAAACCCAACCTCCCACTGCCTCCACGTAACAGTGTGTCATTCCAAGCCTGGCTCTGCCTCCTGCCTCCCTCTCCCGGAGTTTGTTGCCATCAGAAAGGCAGGAGACCTGTAGTTCCCGGGACACATTCCCCTGCAAGCAGTTCCAAGTGCTGGTATCTGCACCGGATAAGCTTCCACACCTCCCTCCTTGGGAGGTCCTAAACGGGAACTCTCCAAGTAACTGGCCACACAGATGCGGGACCCTAAGCTTGGTGAACACAGGGCTGGGGAAATGGCAGGCGAAGTCCAAGAGACCCGAAGGCAGAGAAAAGGTAGGTGGAAGTCAGGAGCAGTAAGACCGGGGCGCCCTGCACTTACCTGTGAGGTCGGTGCCGCCGTGGGACCTTGGGAAAGGCAGAGCCAGGCGGACTGAGCACGGCTGTGCCCCCCCGGCACGGGCCTCCCCGGCCCCCCTGCCCGCCAGGCCTGGCAACTGACCTCCAGCTGAGGGCCACCTCTGCGCCTGGGTTCAGGGGCGACCTGCGGTCAGCGGCTGGCCTCGGGCGGGGCTGACTCTCCCTCGGCCTCCGGGGCGCACCACCCGCGGTTCTTCCCGGAACAGCCTTCGGCAGGCTTTCCACACCCCACCGGCCGCGTCTCGGGCTCGGGGCTGTCCCCGGCCGGGCCCCGCGCACGGGGCGCGACTCCTGCGCCTGCCCTGAGGGGGCGGGCCTCCCCCAAGCTCCGCGCCCTGCGGTGACGGCGCGCACCCCACGTCCCCGCGCCCCGCGCTGACCCGGGCCGGGGCCGAGGACGCGCCGCTCACCCCGGCCGGGCCCCTCGGCGCGGCCGCCTCCATCCTGCTCTCCTGGGGGGGCACCGGGGCGGCGACCGCGCGCTGCCGCTCTCAGCGGCGTCACAGGCTGCAGCGCCTGATCCTCGCCCCTCCTCCGGCGCCTTCTCGCGTCACTCGGGTCCCAGCGCAGCACACAAGACAGACAGAACCGGCTCGAGGGCCCCAGAAAAGATCTCCAGGAAAACGCCGGAAGTCCCGCCCCAAGGGAGACGCCCTGCACGGAAACGCCTCTCCTCTGGACCTTCATTGGATCAGCACTCTGCCACTGGGCGCAAGCGCTTCTGGGTAATGTAGTTCCCACGGCCACGATCGCGCCCAGGGAAGCCAGGAACAGCGACCTCGCGGGAAAGGTCCCCGCAGCGCCGCCAGGGCCCCCAGCCGGTGTCTGCGGAGTGCCAGTCTCCAGTGCAACTGACCACTTAAATATGTGGACATTATTTCAGACCCAAGAAGCCGACCATACAGAGCCTCGCAGCTAGCTAGAAGCGTTCCCACGGCCACATCGCGCTTCAAATGCGTGGGAGCACGCCATCAGCTCAGACTGGCGCCAAGAAGGGACCAAAGGCGGTGGCGAGGGGGTGGGGCGGACTGAGCCAGGGTAGACAGCGCAGGGTGCAAGGACACGGGGCATCTATTCCTGTCCCCTGAAACGTGCGTTTGGCCTGTGACGTCTGGATGTTCACAAAGCATAGACTTTTGCTTACGCCCTGTGTTCCTAATTTACACCGGAAGTTTCTAAGTCATAAAATTGACTTTATTGTGTGTTGAGGATTATTATCACACTCTATATATTTGTAAAACGGCGAAAAAGTCTCCTTCTGTACTCGTCGGATTAGCCGCACCTGAAAGACAGCTTCTTTCCAGGAATCTGCTCCAGGCACGCCCTCTACCTGCATCCCACATGCATCCCACAGGTATCCCACCTGCATCCCACAGATATCCCACAGGCATCCCACCTGCATCC